TGCCAGCTTGTATGGCATAAACGATATAATACCGTAAAATAGAGACATCTAAGTTTGATATGACAGAAATAAGTTCTGTCTCATAAGAAGAAAAGCACTGCTTGAAAAAGCGAAGGAGTTCAATCAGGTTTTCAGCTTGGAATTTGGGCACGTAAATGGAGAAAATTAAGTCTAATATCTTATCAACTTGAAATCNTGAAATACTTTGCCAATATCAGTACCCAACTCTTTGTCAAAAGCCTGCAGGGTGTTCGTAAAGCCTCTGAATACTAGAAATTCCCTGACAAGCTCCTCTGCATACAGCATATTCTCCATCTTGCCTTGAGCAATTACAAGGACTGCCTTCAGAACCTGGGAAAGACAAAAAGATGCTTACTCCCCTCATAAGACAAGTATCCACGAGCGCCACAGCCATTAGATANATATGGCAATACGAAACACTCTGTAACTTCACAAGTACTTTGAACTGTAAATATGGTGGCAATCTGCTGAATCCTTACCACAGGACAATAGAAAATTTACCCTTTGAGCTTATATGGAATAAAAAGAAATCCAGGAATCAATAACCACTGCTGAACTCCAGCTGCTCCAGAAACAGTCTGGCAAGCTCTGCAAACATAGGCATAAATTGGTTCCATGATTATTCTGAAAATAGAGAGAGAAAAGGACCCAAAAAAAGAAGAATTTGTCTTGAATTGAGTGTGGGTCGAGTTTAATATTAGAGAAAAGGTAAGTTAGACTACATGGAATAAGAAAATTACTTAAATACCGAGATTTCTAAGTATGACAAAATTAGGAAGAATTTTCTATACTACTAACCTGAAACAGAATGAATCTAGAACATTCTGTTATATAACAAAATTAATTTTCTTTACTTTCAACATGTTCCGCTCAAGGTACCGTAAACAACTTGAATTTCCAAATCAAAGCTAGAAAGCCGATCGGACTATGCCGGAAAAAGTTATTGTTGAACAGTCATGGGAGAAAAATATATTATTGATATTTTATTCAATTATAATACAAGGAACCATATTTATACAATACATATCCTACTCCTATTCTACGTGGGACGAGGATCAGTGAAGCACTTGGTTAAAATATCTGCAAGCTGATCATTTGACTTCACAAACTTTATAGTAATATCTCTTGAGAGTATCTTTTCTCTAACAAAGTGACAGTCAATCTCAATGTGTTTAGTTCTCTCATGGAACATTGGATTTGATGCAATATGAAAGGCAGTTTGATTATCACACACAAGTTTCATCTTGTTGATCTCGCCAAATTTCAACTCCTTGAACAACTGTTTGATCCAAACTAGCTCACATGTTGCCATAGTCATTGCCCGATACTCTGCTTTTGCACTAGACCGAACAACAACATTTTGTTTCTTGCTCTTCCAAGATACCAAATTACCTCCTACTAAAACACAATATCCAAACATAGAACGTCTATTAAAAGGTGATCCTGCCCAATCAGCATCTGAGTATCCAATAATCTGCTCATGGCCTCATCCTTAAACAATAATCCTTTGCTTGGAGCTAATTTTATGTACCGAACAATGTGGACAACTGCATCCCAATGACTATCATAGGGAGAATCCATAAACTGACTCACAACACTCACCGGAAAGGAAATGTCAGGTCTGGTTACTGTGAGGTAATTTAATTTACAACCCAGCCGCTTATATCTTGCAGGATCACTAAGCGGCTCCCCCTGTCCTGGCAGAAGTTTAGATTTGGTTGGATCCAAAGGAGTGTCAACAGATCTACAACCTGTCATTCTTGTCTCCTCAAGAATGTCCAAAGTATACTTTCATTGTGAGATCACAATACCTGAGCTAGACTGAGCGACATCAATACCCAAAAAATACTTTAATCTGCCTAGATACTTAGTCTGAAAGTGCTGAAAGAGATGGTTTTTCAACCTAGTAATACCATCCCGATCATTGCCGGTAATAACAATATCGTCAACACAAACTACAAGATAAATACAAAAATTTGGAGCAGAATGCCGATAAAATATAGAGTGGACAGCTTCACTAGGAGTCATGCCAAACTCCTGAATTACTGTGTTGAACTTACCAAACCAGGCTCGAGGAGACTGTTTTAGACCATAGAGGGACTGACACAACCGACATACAAGGCCACTAGACTCCCCCTGAGCAACAAAACCAGGTGGTTGCTCCATATAAACCTCATCCTCAAGATCACCGTGAAGAGAAGCATTCTTAATGTCTAACTAATAGAGAGGCCAATGGCGAACAGCAGCAATGGATTGAAAAAGGCGGACCGATGCTATTTTAGCCACGGGAGAGAAAGTATCATTATAATCGAGCCAAAATATCTGAGTATACCCTTTGGCAACAAGACGAGCCTTAAGTCGATCAACTGGCCATCTGGACCAACTTTGACTGCATACACCCAACGACAACCAATAGTAGATTTACCTAAAGGAAGAGGAACAAGCTTCCAAATACCACTCGTATATAAAGCAGACATCTCGTCAATCATAGCCTGTCGCCATCCTGGATGAGACAGTGCTTCACCTGTAGACTTATGGGTGGAAACAGAGGACAGAGACGATACAAACACATAATGGGGTGATGACAGATGACGATAACTTAAACTAATATAGTAGGAATTAGGATTAAGTGTGGATCGTATACCTTTGCGAAGTGCAATCAGTTGACTAAGAGGAGACAAGTCCGCAGTAGAGGCAGGGTCAGGTACTGGACGTGAATCAACTAGGCCTGATGCTGGGCGCGGACAACGATGATAAGTCATGCGTGGTGGAGTTGTAGGTGGTGGAGTTGTAGGTGGTGGAGCTGAAACTCGAGTTGTAGGTGGTGGAGCTAAAACTCGAACTGTAGGTGGTGGAGCTAGAACTCAGAACTGTAGGTGGTGCAGCTGGGACTGGAGTTGTAGGTGGTAGAGCTGGAGTTGTAGAGGAAGATGAATGGGAAATAGTGACTGAATCTCCAAATGATGAAACTTGTAGCACCTCAGAAATATCTAAGTAATCACCTCGACCTGTGAAGTATGACTGGGTTCAAAAAAGGTAACATCAGTGGACCTAAGGTACCACTGGAGGTCAGGTGAATAGCATCGATATCCCTTTTGCATTCTCGAGTAACCCAAAAATACGCACTTAAAAGCACGAGAAGCTAACTTATCTTCTCCTGGAGTAAAGTTATGAACAAAACACGTGCTCCTAAAGATACAGGGTGGGAGAGAGAACAAAGGTGAGTGGGAAAATAAGACAGAGAATGGAACTTGATTTTGGACAGCTGATGATGGAATATGATTAATAAGATAACAAGAAGTGAGAACGCATCCCCCCCAAAAGCGCAACAAAAAGATGAGATTGTATGAGTAGTGTACGAGTAGTTTTAATGAGATGTCTATTCTTTCTTTCAGCTACCCCATTTTGTTAAGATGTGTACGGACAAGATGTTTGATGAATGATTCTATGAGAGTTCATAAACTGCACAAGTGGGGAATACAAATACTCTAGGGCATTATCACTACGAAATGTGCGGATAGAAACCCCAAATTGATTTTGAATTTCAGTGTAGAAGGTCTGGAAAATAGAAAACAACTCAGGTCGATTTTTCATCAAAAATATCCAAGTGCATTGGGAATAATCGTCGATGAAACTAACAAAGTAGCGGAATCCCAAGGTAGAACCGACCCGACTAGGACCCCAAACATCTGAATGGACTAAAGTGAAAGGCGACTCTGCTCGATTATCAGGACGTTGGTGGAAATGGGAGCGAGTATGTTTACCGAGCTGACATGACTCACACTCTAGAGTGGACAGCTAAGATAATCCAGGTACCATTTTCTGAAGTTTTGACAAACTAGGATGTCTCAATCGTTTATGTAATAAATATGGTGAATCCACAACATGACAAGTTGTTGAAGAAAGACAAGACGTGAGTTCATGTGATTTAGCAAGGATAAGGTAATAAAGTCCGTTTGATTCACGCATAGTACCAATGATTCGCCTCGTACTGCTTTCCTGTATTAAAATAAGCAACAACAACAACAACCCAATATAATCCCACTAGTGTGGTCTGGGGAGGGTAGTGTGTACGCAGACCTTACCCCTACCCTGGGGTAGAGAGGCTGTTTCCGATAGACCCTCGGCTCCCTCCCTCCAAGAACTCTCCACCTTGCTCTTAGGGTGACTCGAACTCACAACCTCTTGGTTGGAAGTGGAGGGTGCTCACCACTAGAGCAAACTCACTCTTGTCCCCCATATTAAAATAAGGTCATCAAGAAATAAAACAGAGCATTTAACTTATTTGGCTAAGCGACTAACGGCTATGAGATTAAAAGGACTACCGGGAACATAAAGAATTGAATCTAAAGGTAAGGAACGAAGTGTACTTGCTTGACCTATTCCAGTTGCCATGGTTTGAGACCCGTTGGCCATTGTGACTGTTGGAAAAGATTAAGAATATGAAATAATTGTGAAAAGTGATTTGTTATCAGAAATGTGATCAGATGCACCTGAATCAATGACCCAAGAATCGGAGGATGAAGATTGGAAGACACGAGTCACGCTAATTCACGTTATTTACATAATTATCTAACATCGTCAAAATCTCCAGATTAGCGCACAACCACCAAAAAGAAAAGCATTGGGATTATTTCCTCTCAAAACTTGGTACTGTGCACAGTGAAGAAAAGTGCTTCTTGATCACACACTAAAAATGATCTACTAGCTCAAAGAATCATGGTGATGCAAATCTCCATGACATCTTTACTGTAGCTTGAAATTTGAATTGGCATCTCAAAAATAACTAAAAAAGATGGCACCCAAGAGTGTGGCCTAATGGTTAATGAAGTGGGTTGAGAACTATCAGCTCTCAGGTTCAAATCCCAACGGAGGAAAAAACACTAAGTGATTTCTTCCCATCTATCCATGTCTAGGTGAACAAAGTTGTCCCATACGTGTGCTGGGAGGTAGCAGGTACCCAGTAGAATTAGTCGAGATGCGCATAAACTGGCCCAGACACCACGAGTATAAAACAAATAACTTAAAAAGTTGTCGAAAAGTAAGTGTTTAGCAGAGGGAGTTAATACCCAAACTTTAATACCAAAGAAAAAAGAAGAATTTTTTGTGATAGCTAACAAAAGTTATGTTCAGAGAAGGAACTCAACATCCAACCTCTGATGGTAAAGAAATATACGGGAATAAGACTTCTAAAAAGATAAAAGAAAACCTTTTCCAAAATAAAGAAGATTTAAAGAATATTTTGCTTGAAGGAGACCTTTTTCAGCCAAAAAATAATGGAGTGGTTATATGTCATGCACTTAAAGAAGCCTCAAAGCTGAAAGGAAACTCTGTAAGATGATGGAAGTTCCAAGAAGATTTCTAATAATATTTTCGCAAGAAATTACAACCATGGGCGTTATACAAGTATTGTCAGCATTCAACAAGACGAGATCAGTCATTATTATCCCAGAATTTGCATTTAATATGAGGTGGGGTGACATTGTAACAAAAATCTCAACCTTCGCTAATAGCAAAACCCAAAAGACAGTTATAATTGTTTCTAGGAATAAAGACGAAGAACTCCCCTACTCTAAAATAGTCAAAATAGATGAAGGAATAAATGGACAACTACAGAAATGAATGAGAAGACGGAATCATCAGCATTAATGGTGGAATCAGCACCGCTCAAAATGAACTTTTGTTCAAAAGTGTCATGGGTATCCTACCTGTTGGGATATCCGACATCGTAACACTTCCGGAGATTTGTTGCTGGGCTAGTAGTACGTGGAAGCAGGCACATGGAGTTAACATGTACAAGATAGGACAAAAACGCTTCCTTTTCAGCATATCATTGAGACTTTCCATGGCAATGATGAATAGGAAGGGAGATAGGGGATTACCTTGTCTCTGTCCTCTATGAGATGGAAAGAAACCAACCATTGTTATCAATAGCGAAAAGTGCAAAAAATCTCTATGGTCTGTTGGAGCTTTAAGCGCAAAGCGCAAATAAAGCGTGGGCTTTAATGAAGAAAGGCGCAAATGGAGAAAAACTACAAATATGTATGTGTAGTCTAAGACTAATATCTATAAGCTCGAATCCCAAATATATAGACAAAGAAATTGAAGAAAATTTACGATAAAGTAAAATATCAATTGTTTAGTGTTGCGTCTTCCGGATTACGCTCGTTAGTAAGGAAAAGTATGCCTTAGAGCCTTGATGACAACACTGAAGCGCCTGTTAAGCGAGGCGAAGCGCTCAACATGTTTTGAGCCTCGCTTCGGGGCTTAAGGGCACTTTAGGTGTGCCTTTGATAACACTGAAACCAACAGGAGAGCCATTAATCAGGATAGAGAATCTAACTGTGCTGATGTAAAACTTAATCCAGTTTATCCATCTGACTCCAAATCCCATCTTCTCCGGAATCACAATTCCAATTCAAATGGACAAAGGCCTTGTGAGTGTCTAGTTTACAAAGTATCCCTGGCTTCATGCTTTTTATCCTTGCATCTACACACTCATTTGCAATGAGTATAACATCCATTATCTGCTTGCCTTTAACAAAGGTCATCTATTGAGCATCTACCAGTTTGCGAATTACTCTTTTTAGTCTCTTAGTCAACAGCTTTGAGATGATTTTGTAAATGCTTCCCACTAGGTTGTTGGGCCTGAAATCTTTTGGACGATTTAGCACCCACTTTCTCATGGACCAAGGCCACATTAAAGCTTTTCTTGAAAACCCCTCTATCATAGAAGCTCTATATGGCAGGTGGTGAAGGCCATAGGATAGCCATCAGGACCGGGAGCTTTATCCCCAACATAAGCTTAAATACTGCATTATATCTCTTGAGCTTCAGATAGACCTTGTAGCATCTAGTTCTCCTTTGCATTAATAAATCTAGAACATAATAAAATTATAACTAAATTAATTCTCAACTTTCGAGCATTACCAAGAAGAACGATGGAAATATCTTAAGACCAGTCACTTCATTCCATGTTGCAACTCTTTATAAAAGAAAATTACTAAAAGAGGAAAACTCAATAGTTAAGGTTAAAAAAACCCTGGTAATGTACTTCTACGTCTTCTTTTAGTTTCTTTTCTTTTTGATAAATGAGCAGTATCATTCATTGACCACCAACATGCTGTGAAAGTATGTATAAAAAAATTAGCAGCTCAACCAAATTAGCTATCATTTCATCCCGTTTATCCATACACATGGTTATCCCTCCAGCAAAAAATACAAGAAAATAAAAAGATATCTTAATACTACCTATTTCCTTTTTACTATTATGAAAAAAATTACCTTTTTTTTAATAATAGTGGTGTCCGACCCAACTTGCGCGTACCTCGACTATTCCACTGAAAACTTGCTACCTCCTACCAGCACAAATAAAGAGTAACGCTAGCTTAAGTAGATGGGAAGAAATTACCTACTTTTTTCGTCTCCACTAGGATTTGAACCTTGGTCACACCCACTTCATTGATAGCTAAGTCACACCCTTGAGTGCGACACATTCACATATTTCTTTCAATCCATACAGACCAAAGATTACATCAAGTTATAGCTCTCTGTTATTTCTTATTTTTTTTGCTTATCTCCGGTATCCTCCAACTTGTGACAATGTGAAATAACAAACATAAGGTTTCAGAATAGTGAAACAAACCTGCATTGTAGCAAAAATTGGTCAGTGCCTTATTCGTTTTCTTTCTTTATAGGCAAAATAGTGCCTTCTCCATTTTCTTTGCACAAACAACACCAACTTACTATATTTCCTCCTGCTCCTTACATTGTATGATGCAAGGTAGGAACAAAAGTTCCCTGCTCAATGAAGTATACCTAATGAATGTAAGTCAATTCTTTACTTTATGGAAGGAATCCACTCTAAAAGCTAGTTTTCTTTTACCCAAATTACGTAAGGCATTTAGTAGGAGTCGTGGTACTTAAGGAAGTCAGCCATCTATAGTACTCCAAACCTATATGTCATAGTTCATTATTTTGATAAGGAACAAATATCAACATGGGATATTCTGATATATTGTTTCAAACCAACTACTAAAACCTATTAGCAGTTAAAAACATATGGTCTGACACGACAAAATTACAATATTAAACGATAAAAGCAATAGGATAGATAGATGGGGGGTTCCCAGGCCCAAAAGCGATACAATTTCAAATAACTCTTAATAGATAGCAGCCTCTTTCTCCCTTTTACAACCTCAAGGATGAAAGAAAAAAAGAAAAGTTAGAGAATGAAGCAATGAAGGCTCACAAAGTAGACGGCAAGCAACTTCTCATAGCCTAACCTTTCGATTTTTCAATAATGCTTCTTATCTAAAAAAACGTAAACATAGAAGGAATCAATTTTACTGTACAATTTTAGAGAGTACTCCGGATTAGAAGACTAATCCAAAAAGAAAAAGAATGTGAGAATTCTTCTCGTGAAGGTAGCGAGATGGTAAAATTTTCAATCCAGCAACAAGCTAAATCTGTCTGATGGAGAGATTCACCAATTCCTTTATTTCAATGTGTTGTATCCTTTACAGAGCTAGAACTTTAACAAAGCACATCCATTGAATACTTTCATTTTTGAATAACCATCTCTTTGAAAGAAGTGAAATGCCCAAATATACCACCAATAAAATCTTCTCTAATATAGTATGTCATTTTATAAAAGTGTCCCTTTTTATTTCCACACAATACACCAAGTCAAGAATGCAACTTTCTTTTGTACCTTGGTGTCGTGCACTTTTCATCTACACCTATCTTTATCTCCTTCTTCAGCTAATTCAAGCAAATAATAAGAAGTTCTTCATTTGTTCCCCTCTCCACACGATGCGTTGTCCCCGATATCCCTTCCAAGCCAAGAATAGAGTTTATAACAAAACTCATCCACCTCCTTCCACTCCCGGTTCTGTATAACCCTTCTGTTAGTGTCCGACATTAGCTACGGGTGAGGTGTTTGGTCTCTTTATATGGTCTTGAAAAATCTTCACCTCTTGAGCTAGTTTTTGGGTTGAGTTAGGCCTAATATCCACTTATAATGGTATCAGAGTCAGGTTCACCCAATTCTTATTTCACCCGATGTTGGAACACCATCTTATACTATTTATGCTCTAAATGCCCAATCACGGGCGTGTCCGGGGCGGGGGGAGGTGTTAGTGTCCCACAACGACTATGTTTGAGGTGTTTGGTCGCTTTATATGGTCTTGGGTACTACTCAGCTCTTGAGCTAGGCCCAAGGTCCATTTTCTTATCACTTTCAAAATGTTACATCCCATATTATTCCTTGATTANCACACCCCTCACAAGTCCTTCCAAAGGTTGACCTGCTCCAACTCCATAAGAATACACATCCTCCAATTTGGGTGCTGCACCTGACTATTCCAGTAAGGCTATTTTCTTCCGTCCCCCCTCCCTCTTTAATTTTTTATTTTTATTAATTTTATTACAATCAAAAGCAAATAAAAAAGATGGCAAAGTTATATATGAAGTGGCAAAGTTCTATTTCTGTTTCTGTATTCTTTTAAAATACTAGCTATGACACATAAACCTTGCAGGACATCTTTAGCTAACTAAAAAAAACTGCATTTTTGTACTCCAATAAATTTATAAAAAAGAGTCCTGAACTTTAGAATATTAGGACTACAGACAGTAGTTTCCACTTCCTAAATGATTGAGCAGTAGTCTAGCAGGATTGCAATTAAGATATAGATTATGTATCCCTTAAGTGAACCATGCTAACACCATTTAAGTTACAGCTAGATAAACTGATAAGAGGCCACAAACAAATTAAAGACTAGAAGTAGTTCAAATCTTCTTTGTCAACTTTAATGGGATAGATTCAACTTTAGAACTAGCTAGCCTAATTTGTCATCCCCCGTAGACCATCTGGTATACTTCATTATTACATAGACCTCATATGATCTCAGAACCTCATGCTCCTAAATGTATAATACAGCAAGCCACAGACAAAGAAAATCGCACCATAGTAAAAATTCGACTTATCTAGAAAATCATCACAATCAATTCTCGACGAAGCTTCAATCACAAATTCGAAAGTCGACCATGCACATAACCACTAAGCAACCAGAAAGTTGAATATAGCTCAATCTATCTATATTTGAACTTTTAACCAAAATTAAACACCCAAATTTCGGTGCATTTAACATATATATGCTCTATTAAGCGAGCTGGTAAAAAAACTCAAGTACTAAACACCACGCACTACATTCTAAAAGAATGTACACAACATTGAGTGTGCTAACAGACATATTTAAAGCATTTCACCTCTGCTAAACTTGTCACCAACTCAGCTGCACAAAGATTCACTACACTCGCAGGAGAGAAGCCACTAAGATGTATGTAAATAGGACATCCGTAAAATGCTAAACATTATCATACCATACTCCAGGAAACAAGCGGCTTTGGCCTGCTTATATGACCAAATGAGATCAGCAAGTAAATGAAATACCAAGGAATGGATATGACTAATGCCAGGTGGTACTTACACCAGTGAAGACAGATCATCTGAATATATCGAATCTAAAGATATGGCTATCCCCAATTTAAAGTGCATAGAATATATTTCACAGAAAAAAGAAACATATACTAATAACAAAGAGGCAAACTCACGTATTAAAAATGCCTAAGAGGCACAACTAAAAGAAGAGGAGACCTTTGAACCGTGCCAAAGAAATAGTATTGGAATACTATAATCTCACAAACAGTCACAAGTTCATCAGAACAGTAAAAAAAACTCAAGCAGCAGTTCATTTTATAAAATAAAAAGATGGGTCGAAAAGGGGATTATGAGTTTGAGATGAAAGAAAAAAGTGTGATTTTTTTCTAAGAGATCAATAATAAACAAGAGTTCTATCTAAGATGAGATTCATCCATCAGGAAAGAAGAAGGAATATTTTTTTTAAACTGTTAAAACTAACCTGCCAGACAAACTCAATGCACAATTCTTAAACAATATTCATAAACTGATTCATTAGCAACTAGGCAGTAGAATAACATCAACGTACAACAATCAACAAATGAAACAGGGATTTGAGACATGCTTTTGCACGATATAACAAAGGATAATTCATGGAATCACCAAAAGGGTGCAGTAACCACCCACAAAAAATCAATTTCAGCTGAAGCACCTCACAAATATTAACAGACCACAGACAAGAAAGCGACGGCAAGTCGCGATAACACCCAAAGCCGGCAAGGCTGATATTATAAAATACATAGTAACAACGCCACAAGGCAAAGATTAGAAAAGATTGTACCCGGATAATAAAGCAGCATCAAGCGGATCCAGTGGCAACTTCAAATCGGCGTCTCAGTCACAGTAGTAGCCTCAAATGACGGTCTGGTAACAGATCTTCAAAGGCTCGCTGGTGGACCCTACTTTTTTGTTTAGCCTCAAATAACAATTTAATGTTATTTAATTGGTAAGTGGTTTTAAGAATATGGATAAGTCATATTGCAATTAAAATAAATAATGATAAAATAAATATAAATCACATAAATTAAACAGTTTCATTCTTGTAAGGTTAGCCACTCTCGAGCCGAACGTATTTCGATTTATATCAGGACACAAGAATAAAAACTTACTTTGGAATGCGTGTTAACATGTGTTTTACAAGTAATTAGACCCACTTTATATAGTAGTGGAGTCTTACATTATGTACAATTTTATAAAAGGTAAAAATCTCTTGATTTGCTAATTGTCAGTTGCTTACTTATATGCACCGAGATTCCCGTCGTAATGCCCAATCGGTCACGGATATTTCGGTCTTCTGTTGGTTATGCTATCAATGTTTCTTCGAGCTCGTTCAGGAGTAAGGTCGACTCCGGACTCAATGTTCTCGAAGGCAGGCGTCCTAACCCCGGGTTCTAACTCAGTGGGACTCGGGGTCGATCTTACTTCCTTGGTTGTCATGTTCCAAGCCTAACCTACCATATCGTAATCGAGCTCGATTTCGACCATATACAAATAGTCTCCTCTTTTTTCGGAGAGTATACGACGAGAAACGACATGAGCTTCAGATCCTGACTTCGATACCCCGTGACAGAAACGACAAAACAGACGAAACATCTCGTTAGTCAAGTCCTTAATGACATTAAATGCTTGTCAGTTGCTGGTCGCACACTCCCAGATGCGAACCGTCATTGAAAAACTATAAATATCCCTTCATTTGTTCATTCAAACTTTACATTCAAACCTTCTGCCCTCGTACTTTAGCAATCTTAATATTTCCAGACACTTATATTTCGGTTATTTGAGATCTTTTTATAAGAACTTATGTTCTGTCTTCATCCCAAACCATGAAGTGTACTATTTTAACTTCCTCGTTTTCATCTTTTTCACTTCACTTTCAAAGAAATGGTGAATACTTCAAAAACCGTTCCTCAAAATGAAACTCATTCTGCCTCGCGGCCGGCTACGGAGGAGACCGTTTCACGTATTGCAATGGAGGAACCAGTACCGGAACCTCCTTTGAAAATGTTCATCCCCGGGGGGTGCCTAGTCAATGCCGATTTTAAGGTTGAAAATCCCTCCTCTGTACCAGGCTGGTGCGAGGAGGTCTCGAGGTACGTCTGCTCGATCACTGAGGACATTCTCTCCGAAGTCAAAAAGGATTGCAACTAGGTTGATAAACATGTGGTGGTTCTCGAACCTGACGAAGCTATCACCACGCATGTCGAGGGATTTTTAAGTGTTTACACTTATCCCTTCACGTTGGGCCCTAGGACCCGATTATCATCGACTTTTGCAAAAGATACGAGGTAACCCTTGGTCAGATTCAGCCTTCTTTCTGGAGGATTGTACAGTCCCCGGATCTATCGAGGGGACTGATCAAGCTCGCCCGTCGGGCCAGTAAATCCCTGTTCTCGAGTATCGATGAAGATCAAGATCGAGGTTGGCTAGGCTGTTTCGTCCGAGTAAGGTCCTCGGACTTGATCCCGGCCGAGCACATGTCGTTCCCTGAGTAGTGGAACATGTCACGTAAGTATAATTTTGCTTCCAAGATTTAATTTATCGCTTTTTTCTTTTCTTCTTATCGGTGTTTGTGGTGGTGCAATTGTTGTTCGGATCCTAAATGTTGTTCTTCAGCTCAAGTAGTGGGTCAAGGGCATCGTATTACTAAGGCCTTATTCCGAGCGTTCGTGGCGCGAGCTTTCAAAGGGCTGATGGGAGGCCAGCTCGCATGGTGAGATCACTTTCATAAATAGTTTTGGGTTTCCCTTTTGCATCATTAAGCCCTTACTTGTTTTATTTCTTTTTGCATGTTTGTCAAAGGATGTCAAACTGAGGCCTTCAGCGGGTGAAGAAGACTTGCCTATCGAGTCTGCTACTCCAGGTCAGGCCAGAGAAAAGAAGAGAAGGAGGGCTCCGAGCTCCCCGAGCTCGGAGAAGAAGAAACCAAGGAGAAGGCTGATCCGCAAGCCAAAAGAAACCTCCAGTTCTCGAATACTTGATTTGGACTCCCTCTGCCGGCTCAGGGACGAGTCTGAAAAGGATGAAATTTTAGTGGCCCGGTAACCATCGGTCCCTGAAGAACGGGCATCAACTGAAGGGGGGACGATAGAGGCCAACCCCTCCCAAACTCAAGAGGCCGATGCATCAGTGAGGGTTGAGGACCCTCAAGACTCCGGTTCCACTTCACTCGTTGTCATCAATATAACGGGATCGCCTTCATTCACGGACTCAATATTCGGTGAAGCTCAGGCGAGTGAAGGAACGTTCAAATGAGGGGGTCCAAGGAGCGAACGATCCCTCCCAAAGCTTTTTTGGAAGGCGTGGATTCTATTGTCATGGATGATATCACCGGATTGGGTGATTTAGAAGTACCAAGAAGAAGTTTGCCCTCGGGGACATATGGGTCTAGTTTGAGCCCGAGATTAGTCAATTGATTCCCAGCCTGAGTGTCGATCCCGGTTGGAAGATGCTCGGGTCCTTCCGCGCCTATTGGGGTAGCTAGTTACCCTCGGCGACTGGTGACTGAAGAAGACCAGGCAAAGATGAACGAGGTGGAATCTTCATGCTTGTTCAACGAAGAACAGCAGGCGTTGAATCGGGTAAGGTGTTACCAAACCTTCTCATTTCTAGCTTTGGTTTCTTAATGATCTTAATATTTTTCCTTGTATTCGCAGGCCTCAGTGCCTCACCACGAGACCTTCCTCCAGTATCGAGAAGAGCTGAGTCTCCTTGAGGCCGAAGCCAAAGAGATTACTAAGAAGAGAGAGATGTACAAACTTCTCAGTGAGCAACGCGATGAAGAATCCAAGG